CAGGCACCCACCCAAATAACATCTGCAGACCTGAGCTCATAGACGTGCTGTGTGTGTTCTCCACAGCCACAAACCCGCCTCTTATCTCTTCCCTTCTACTCGAAAAACAATAAATCCCTGAGCAATCCTTAGTGTTTTCTTTCCTCTTAATCATCCTCCTCAGTTCAATTAGCTGACAAATCACCTTTTCATTGCTTCCAATCCTCACTCTCCCCGCCTTCGTGTGGGATACATCTCACCAATTAGACTCCGGCTCTAATCCCATGCCTCTGGCTTTTAAAACTCTTCTTAAACTCTAGCTTTATCTGTTTACTCTCCAACGTAGATAGCTGATTTTCCCCTCTCTTTCCCCCCTTAAAAAAAACCGAGCCTGGCCCGTCTTCCCCATCAAAGCCACCGCCGCCAGGCCTCAGGATGGGGGGGCTGCAGCTCAGAGCCCGCAGTCGGACGTGAGCCTCCGATCCTCGTGGCCTGGGGCCCCTCCCTGGAATTGCTTTTTTCTTCCCTGTAAAGCAGGCAGAAATCTCCGAGATTTTTTTCTTTTTAATTTTATAACTTGGTCGGAAAACAAAGGGAAATTGGAGGAAGAGGGATTGATTCTCTTCCCAGGCGCTGAGCGGCATGGGAGACAGAGTTGCCCGAGTCCGGGGGTGCGGTGTGGACCCTGCGGAACGTGCACCGGGGGTAGAGGCACGGCCTGGCGGGGCCCGGGAGGCGGCCAGCGGGGGGCCAGCGCCCCAGGGCCGAGCCGGGCAGCACCCTCCGGCTGGGGCAGCACCCGCAGCACGACTGTGAGCGGACGCTGAGCTCCTCTCAGCTTGAGGCAGGGTCAGCGATGTTCCTCGTGGCTGTTCTTGTGCAGAAAACCAGTGTTCTCGCTGCTTCCTGGTGGTGCGGACGAAGCAACGAGGTTCTGCTCTTGTGTAGTAGCTCCAGGACAGCCGGAAAACAATCTGACCGTTTACTGAAAGAGACCAAGCAATTCATTGACAAGCTAGACTTTTTGCTACCGTGAATCAAGCTTTAGAATTTGGGTCACAACAAGTATCTAGGAATAAGTAAGATACCAAAACCAAGCTGCTCGTATCTTTCAAAATGAAACAGGTTGTGAGAAAGCGCCTGCTTCTGTTAGTCTTAAATCCGTCGATCAAGTGAGATTGGAGGTGTGGGCATCTCGCAAAAGGTCCCGCAGGGGTCGAAGCTCCTCCTCGGCACTCGAGAGTCCTTTGAAAGCCACGAACGGCCCTCCCCAGCGCAGGGTGTCATTAGCCTGGTCACACTCAGGCTTAGATGCGTGGAGCTAGACTGGCCCTTCCCTGCGAGTCGGGGTTGAGGAGGGTAAACAGGAACACCGGCCACGCCACTTGGTGCCGGCACCAGGCGCTGGGCTCGTGCTTCATCCACGTTTTCTCTTTTCGGGGGAGGAGCGTAAGTGGAGGCTGTAAAGCTCTGGAGATGTACGAAGAGCACAGAAAGGCCATGCATGCCTTCAAAAATGGGACCCGCCTCTCAACATGTTTGCTCCAGTCTCTTTCCTTAATCAAAAGATCTGTTGTTTTCTCTAACAGAGGTGTGTTCATTTTAGACATTCAAACTGCGAAAAGCTATGCGAAGAAAATTAAAAAACTTACCCCCAAATAATACTTTTAATAGTCAAATTTATTAAAACTCGGTAACATTGCAGCCATCCTTCTATGTCTATAAACGTACAGAAGGTAGATTAACATGTAGGTAGATAAATGCGTAGAAAGAGAAAAATACGTTCATAAAAATGAGATCATGCCATAGGGACTACTTTTAACATGGCAATTAAATTTTATTTTAGTTTAAAATAAGTAAAAATGACGAGTACTTTGAACTTCTAATAAATGAGTTGCAACAATTTTTTTTCTAAAAGATTCCCCTGAGGCTACAGGACGCCCTCTAAATCAGAGTGCACAAAATGACTCGTGTGTGCGTGTGCGTGCGCACGCGTGTGTGTGCGTGTGTGTGTATGGCTTATGCTTTTGACTTTTTTCGGTGAAAGAAGATAATATTAGCCCTCACATTGCTAGCTATATCCCCTCATCCACGCTTCCTTTTTTAATTTGTGTTGGTATGATCACGTCACCCAAGCTTGTAACGCCGCCTTCCGCCCCCCACCTAAGCCCGACCCTGGTCCGCGAACGTCAGCTGTGGCTCCGCACGCTGTCCACGCGCGTCTGTTTCTCCTTCATTCTTAAGACCGAGAGATCTTACCTGACGGCTTTCCTCGTTAACTCAGTCATTTCTCTGAGAAGAGTCATCTATGTTGCAACCCCTGAGAGGTTTTCTTTTCTTGTTGATGTTACAGAATGCTGGACGTTGCTGTATTTAAAAGATGTCTCGGTGGTGGGTGACCGCCTTGGCACCTGGCACTCAGGATGCTGAGACTGTTCGCCGCTGTCTGCTGGGATAGGAGGCTGCTGTTACTGCCTCAGAGATGAACCTGATGTCTTTCTCTTTTTCAGTCTTTAAGATGATTTGTTGGGTCAGCCTGGGCTTCCGGCAAAGCCTCAGCTCTGAGGCCCAGTCAGGCAGCGGGCACGCGCCTCGGCGGCTCTCGGCCCTGGAAGGGGTGTGGGCCGCTGGCTCACAGGCACAGTTCCTACTAGCCCGGCTCCCCCGTCAGTGACGCCAAGGGGGTGCCGACGCAGGGCCGGTGTAGTTGTCTTTTTCATTCACGGATTTTTCCTCAATTGCTTAATTATCTGTGCTTTCTCCACGGCATTCATTACAATCATCTCAAATTATCCTTTTATGTCAGTAATTGGATTTTCAGCCATCGTCTGTTTTGTGCCTTGCCTATTTTAATTGACTTATTAGTTCTTGAAAGGTGCAGTTTTGGTTGCAATTTGTATCCGTAAGTTTGCAGCCTCCTCATTTATCTGCTTCTGTTGGAGTTTTCTCACCAAGTTGTTGTCTCTTCTTTTTTCCCCTTTTCTCGTTGTATTTTGTATTATTTGTTATGTTGTTTTTAAAGTTCGTGTTCTTAGTCTACAGCACGAAACAACTTCGAGAGATTTCCTAGGGTCCCCCGAGTCCTTCCCTTCTAGGACGGGCTCCTGCCGGCCCCCGGCTCGCCCCATCCCTGGCTCCGCGCCGTAGACTCCGGGCGTGGCTCCTGCTCTGTGCGCTCTGCACCGGCAGTCGCTTATCCCTCCGTCTGGCGGAGCACGTCCTGGCTTTCCTCCCAGCCCGTCAGGACCTGCCCGTCCGCCCCTCGGACCCCCGGTTTGGAGGTGGGACAGACAGTGAGGACGCCCGTCCCGTAGTCTGAGGGCCCGGCGGGGCCGACAGAGGTTCAGCCTTTAGCTCGGCTCCTGGGCGCCGGTCTTTATTTTAAGGTTTTGTTTTTGGTAACAAGGGGGCAGCAGTGTGAGAGGTAGGTCGTGGGGGATGTAAGAAAGCCACGCACAGTGTCAGAGGCCGCGGGGAATGAAGGGGGACACCTTGGTCGGGCCTGAGGGAGGAGAGGAAGGAGGGACCGCTGCAGCGGGCCCGGCGCAGCAGGCACCCTGTGGGCGGGGGCGGGGGCGTGCGGGGGGGAGAGGCCCTCCCCCCAGGCAGCGGGCGCAGCCATGCCTGGCGGCCGCTTACCTGCGAAGAATGGGCAGAGGATGCCGGGGGCCAGGCACTTGCGCTGAATGGGCATTGGAACGTGGACACAGGGAAGGTAGAGGGGACCCACTGCAGGCCACTGTCAACGGACAGAGGTGTGTACACATGTGTGTGCGCACACAGGGGGCTCACAGCGAGAACGCCTCCGAGCGGCGAGCGCACTCAGCGCCCAGGTCGCGGCGTCTGAACACCGTCCCCCAATGAAAGGGATGAAATGGGCGGCGCTCCTGGCTGAGGCTGGGGCAATACACGGTGATTCTAGAACATTCCGAGTGCCGTGAACGGCGGAGGAGTCCAAAGAAGACAGGCACTGGTCAACGCCAGGAAGAAGCCAGCGGGGGTGGGGCCCTGCTGGCCAGGCCCGGCGCCCCGGGGACATCAAAAGAAATGGCAACAGGCTACCGCTGGTTTCAGAAAGTAAGACCCGTGGCTGCAGGTGGATAGACAGGCCCTCGCTGGTAGAGGTGGACAAGTAAACGCGTAAATGTCCCGCGGTGGGGTCTCTCCTCAAAACCCCTGATCACAGCGCCCCCGCTCGTTAGAAAGGGGAGAGGAGGGACTTGCCAGACGGCGCCCCGACCACTGGCCAGAGGGGCCCTCAGCAGCGAGGGGGCGGACAGAGGCCGGCCCCCGAGAGCAGGCTGCCGAGGGGTGCACGTCCCGGTCCGATCTCGGCGTCAGGGCGCCCGGCTGTGCCCAGGGAGGGCGGGCAGGACGGAGGGAGCCCCGAGCGACCGCTGCACCCTGCATGGCTGGGGGGGGCGTTTCCATGTGATAGTTTTAAAAATGAGCTTTACTGGTTTCTGGAGAGCTTTTGAAAGTCTTCATCGTCCCTGTAACTGTAGCCGCTGCGCACCCCGCCCTGGCCTCGGCGGCCGACCGCTCGGACCCGCGCAGGGGCAGCGGAACTTCCCGAAGTCACTGCCTTGTGATCTGAGCCACCTTCCGGGGGGCCACGGTCGGGGGCAAGGGACGGCGGGGGGTGATTCCACATCGCGGGAGGCCGAAGAGGCAGAGCCAGGTAATGACGCCTGTGGTTCGCACGGGGACCCTTTGGCTTTGAAGGGCGTTACTAGGAAAACGGCAAAGTGGGACGTGACGCTGGAAGGCTGGCGTGGGGTCCGTGCTGATTTCTAGATGCTGGTGGTTTTGCTGGGGTCACGCACAAGAATCCTGTTGCAGGAAACACAAGCTGCTTTATGTGCGATAATGAGCATCAGTTCGCAAACGTACCCTCAGTGGCTCAAAACTTTTCTTTGTACCATTTTTGTTAAATTTTTATTGCACGTGTTGGCAGGTGACGGGCCTTGGGCCGAGAGTGGGACGCGGATTCTCACGTGGGGCTCTCTGTCTCTCCCCAGGTGGCGGTCCTCTCAGCCGCCCTTCCTTCACCCAGGAGCCGCAGGACGTCACGGTCCCTTTGGATTTGTCACAGTCTGAGGTCACCCTGAGCTGTGCCGCTACTGGCCACCCGCCTCCGCGCTACAGGTGAGGGCTGGCCCTGGCGCCGCCGTGTTTGTGGTCTTGTCTTCGAGGGAAACCCCCCCGAGTGCATGAAGGGCTGACCTCGCAGGGGCAGCCCAGCGACTTGACGCGGGTGCACAGCTGCGTGCCCCGCTCTCCGACGATGATGCGGGTGTTTGTCCCCAGAGTGCCGGTCATGCTCCCGGCAGCGGCCCCCCCACCCCTCCCCCGGCAGCCGCCTCGGGGGCTCTGTCTGCTGATGAGGTTTTCTGGGAACAGTTATTCTTGACGTCGGTGCCTCGCAGGGTCAGGCTGAGGTTAGAACTGAAAGTAAAGAAGGAAAGGAACAAAGAAAGGAGGGGAAGGGAAGAGGGAAGGAAGGAGGGAGGGAGGGAGACACAGAAAGATAGAAAGTAGTAGAACGATTAAGTGAAAAAGCAGGAAGGAAAGGAAGAGGTTTGTTTCCCAAATCCAGAAGTGCCAGCGTATTCTGTCCCCGCCCTCCCCGCCCAGGGCGGGGCTGCTGCCTCCGTCACCGCACCTGCAATGAGGACGAGTGTGGAAGCGTCCCCCTAAAAGCAGTGAGTCGGAAGGGACACTTTATTGTATCTGATAAGTTTCTGTGACTCCACTGGTAGGGCCCATCACCCCAAAAGCACTGCTTTTAGAAAAATATCTTGAAAACAGCTCTGTAACTTCTAAGGCAGAACAATGACTTCATGCCGGACGAGAAATAGTTGCGTTTGTTTCTCACACAGAGCCTGCGGGCTGCGGGGCGGGGGCCGCGTGTCTCTGCGCTCGGAAGGCTGCGGGGAGGCGCGGTCCGATCCTCGTGGTGGGCGGGCTCCCCGGTTTACCAGTGCATGCGCGTAGAGGTCACGCTTGGGTAAATAAGAACGGTATTTTGTCGGTAAGAATTCTGTATGCGACGTGAATATAGGAAAAGGCAGAACGAATATTAATATGACGATTGTAACTTTGGGTTTTAAAAGCATTAAAAAAAAAACTTAGTTGTTAGGAGGGAAGTTGAAGCAACACACACAAAAAAGTAGCAGTTCAGCCCACTTTGGCGCAACAAGGTGTATTGCCTACTTTTTAGGTTGCATTAAAAATACCTTAGTTATATTTATAACTGCTTTGATCTTAAACTTGTCTAGATTAATTAGATAAATTACTTACTGCACAAACTAAAGACCAATTTTCCCTTGCATTTTGTTGGGCTAACTTCAGCAGCTTCTTCTTCTTCTTCTTTTTTTTATAACAACGGAAGAGTCGAAAGGCTGCGTCTTGTCACGTTCTTCTCGTATGCGGGCAAAGGCCCCGCCAACGAGCCCAGCGGTTCAGGCAACACTGTTCACTTTACAAATGGCTTGTTTGTTTCTCTTAAATAATGAGCTGTCTTAGTTAATTTAACACGTGGGTAAATATATAAAACGCCAACTAATCCATTTTTCACATCACCTAGTACTTAATGTTGTAATTCTATTTTTTTATTTTTTGGGAGCCAATTTCATTGCTCATAAGAGTTGGTTGAGTTTGTTAAAAAAGGAAAAGAATATATAATAAGGAACATTTGCTAAGTACACGAGCTATCAACCAATCAATCAATCAGGCACTTATATAAAAATATTTATTGGTTTATAACAGGCAAAAATAAATACATAAATAAAACAGTGGTTCTCAATGTAGTTCACTTAGCAGCTTTATCTATAAAGAAATGCACCGGATAAGAAGGCTGCAGATTCCCATATTGTTTCATGGCTTCTGTTTCTGAGATACTTGTAAACTGGAAGGCTACAGACAGGTCATTTTGTTCCAATCTCATAATCTGGGTTAACCCATCTCTAATATTAGAGCATAAAATACTCATAGGCAAGAGGCTGTGGAGAGAGTGAGGAAATAACTGAATTTTTAATGCTTAAATGTCAGACTCAGAGCCAATTTCCTTGATAATAAAGCAAAGGGCAGAGGTATCTCAGAGAGTGCGCATTAGCGACAAAATATGAAATTTAGTTTTCATGTGACCCTTTCCAACTTAAATTTTATAACAAAACCTCACCGCTAACCCTGTTCGCCTTCGATTGTGCGTGTGTGCGCGCGGGGAAGGAGGGGAGGCCTCTGGGATCCAGGGGCCCCGTGTTACTCGAGGTCGCTTGGATGAGTGTGAGGCGGCGCAGAAGAGGTCTTGCCGCGGAAGGAAGAGGTTTGGACCTAAGCTTCCCATGGAAAAGCTCGCTCTGTACGTTTAAAGGCGTGCGAACGGAAGTCTAGCCAGCGAGCCCGGTGACGGGGAGGGCTGCCCACAGGCGGCGCCGGGTAGGAGCGCGCCCACCTGTGAAGCCTACGGTAACCGCCGTGAGCCGAGTTCCAGCTCAGAGTCCGTGTTCTATTCGGAAAAGGCAAGCCACACAGAAGCGACTTCCACAGAGGCCGTCCTCTCCATCAGAGGCGAAGGTCTTTGCCTGCCACAGGGGGTCTGTGCCAGCTCTGGGCTGGGTCCGGCCACGGCATGAGGGCCCTTCCTCCAGCCCAGTCTGCTATTCGCGGTCGCACCGGATCTCCAATCCCCCCCGAGCTAAAACAGGCTGTATGCTCTTGTGCTAACTTTGGAGCCGATGGGTGCGACTCCTGCAGACACTGGGTGCCCCTTGCAAGGACACACTGGCTGAGATTCTTGCCACAGGGCGATGGTGTCGCGTTGAGGGCACCTTGCCTCCCCAGCGAGACGGTTGACAGTTTGGGTCTTGGTGTCCTCCTCCGAGGTGACGGGTGGGCCCAGGAACAGGCGCCGTGAACAAGCACGCCACGCGGTCCTGAGGCAGGGCCCAGCTTCAGAACACACAGGGGCGCACACGCACACACACGCACGCACAGGATCGCCCCGTGCGAGGGCCGCAGGCAGACGGAGCCCCCCGCCGTCAGGGTCTTGACTGAGGGCTGAACTTCTCAACAGTGAAGGGTGTTCCCAGCGAAAGGTCACGATTTTAATTCAAATCCGTTATGTTTCCTGGAATTAGTTTGATATTAATTAGATGCTTGAAATAATGATCTAACGTGTATTTCCTCGTCGGAGTCATAGGAAAATTCTCCTCGGTGTTCGGTCCGATCAGTAACGTGTGCCTGACGACCACTCGAATTCATTAACGCTGCTTCCCCGTCGGTTAGAACGTATTAATTAGGACAAAGCCCGCACCGGGCGCCAAGCCCCCGATCTGTGTGCGCCGTTTAATGATCGTTGTGCTGTGTGATTAGAAGGATTATGGGAAGACGGCGGAAAAATCCATTTGCTGCCGCCAAGCCAAGCGCTTTGAATTTGTGTTGAAAAACAATTACCGAGCTTAATTAGGAGCATGTAACGGTGACAGCAGTCATTCCAGTGATTGATTTCAAAATTAAAGGGACCTGGCGAAGTGAGCGCCGTGTCTCCTTCGCTGTGAAATGAAAGAGGACGTGGGGTCCCAGGCGGTGCCCTGTGACGCAGCGTGGCCGTGTTGACAGGGAGAACGGGGCGGGGGCCGGTCTCCTCGCGCTTCTCCCAACATCGAGAACGAGACGCTGCACCCATTTCTCCAGGAAAAAAAAAAAAAAGATAGCCGAAAGTCCGGGAAGGTGAAACGTGGTCTTTTTGACTGCTGTCTTCCGACTTCCTCTTCTTAAAGAGGAGTTGGCGTGCCCAGTCATTGAGTGAATGACTTAAACGTGACAAGTTGGTCCAAACCCTCTGATGGATTTGATGTTTTTCCAGTCACTTCCGACCTTTCATAGCGTCCAGGGTGGTCGCCTACGCCCACCTTTCTTTTCTGGGGCAGATGCCAGACCCTCTCCCTGAGATGTTTCAAGAGGGTCCTAGAAAAGTCAGTGCTGTTTGGGAGTGTTAGGTAAAATGCCATTCCTTTCTAACAATTTGCCACCAACCACGACCACATATTTAATCCGACCTTAGTGTGGCTGGAAGAACCCCAGCCAAGCGGGCACAGACGCCACCAACGCCCGACGGAGAAGGGCTCCGTCCCAGGGGAAGGAACCGCCGCTTGTCTGTCCCAGTGACCGATGGTCTTAATTTAGCATTTTTAAGTGCCTGTCGTGCCCGGTGGTTTATAGGAACACACGAGGAGGGCATCTCATTCCATATGCAGTATCCATACTTCAAAAAGCCTGGCTATTTTGATGAAAGTTGGGAGGGGGCGGGGTGGGGAAAGCCAGAGGTAATTAGTGGATATCTGTTCAGCCTCAAATGACCAAATGGAATTTCTAAAGCGTCTCACCGTTCTTCAGACGAAATAACCACGAGGCCTTGCTCCCACTGAAGCCATGGACTAGAGAGCTACTCATTAACAATTAAGCCAAGAGCCTTCACTGCCCAAACACAGACCTCTCAGACTGCGGTTAAAGCGCCGCGTTAGTTTGGTATTCCTAAGGACCGTGGGCGTGGTTTCTGCGAGATTAGTTCTGCAAGGGAGAGCCTCGCGAGGCGGCCGTGTTCCTTGGACGCGGGCTGCCGTCCGCCGCGGACCAGCGCTGGAGCGTCCTGGGCCTCTTTCTCGTGCCGTTTGTAACACGCTCATCCCCCATTTCTCTCCCTAAATCATTTTGACATTCCATTTCGCAGTGTCAGCCGTGGGCGTTTGAAAAGTTGCTCAAGAAATAGGAAGGCCAGGGCTGTCGGCGGAATGTCTCAGTTTCATTTCTCCTGTCAAGAGTTTGGTTGCCTCTTTGTACACATTTGGGCGAATGTTTGTAATTCCTAAAGAGTGCATCTTTCAAACACCCTCGTTGTGGGCATCGCTGAGTCACGAAGACAGCTTTCTTCGGTGGAACTGGTAGGAGTTTCTCCACATGTAACCACGCTGGTTTTTTCATTGGTCGCCGTAATTACAAATGCATGTTGTGCATGACAGATAGCGGCCAACTCTTTGTCGTATACGCGTAATTTGCTTTTTTTCTCCTTGAAGGTGGAGGCTCAATGGCACGGACCTGGACCTCTCCGGGACCTCTCGCCGCAGGTTGGACGGAGGCAGCTTGGCGATCAGCCGCCCGCGGCCAGACCAAGACGCCGGCGCGTACCAGTGCCTGGCCACCAACCCAGTGGGCACGGCGCTGAGTCAGCAGGCGAGGCTCCGGTTTGCATGTGAGTGTGCAGGAAGCGTCTACAATGCCTGTGGTTCTGAAAATATAGTATTTTTATTATATTCATTTTAGGAAAAAACCCAGCTTTGCCACTCCTCTATTCTTTGACAGCAAGTATGAGTTTGTGGAGGCAAATGTTCTCCCAGCATGCGTTCTGTGAATCCAGACTCCGGGGTTAAACGCAATCTGTTTCAACAAAAGAAGACAATAGCAATGCTATTCTGTCTTGTGAATTATATTTGGAAACATCTCCAAAAGTTCCATATGGAAAAACTGAGGAAAGGACATCGGCTGTGTGACTGTCTTTCCTTTTTCTCTTGCGCCGGATACTAGCGTGCAGAGCACGGAAGGAAAGGCCAAGGGCAGCGGTCACTTCCTGGGAGGCGTCTGTCCCTGGGGCATGCGCGAGGTGTAATGGCCGCCAAAGGCAGGCTGTATATTAGCCGAGCGGTGTCCAGCTGCATCCCGTAAATGTTAACACGGTAATTACCTTGGTGACATTTGGCGACATTAGCAGATGAGCAATAGACATAGTGACCCTTACACCCTTTACATGCAGAATGGCCGGGGCCCGAGATGTTCCTTGTGGAGTCCAGGACACGCTGCGTGGGACATGATCCTCCCTGCCAGCGCGGTGAGGGGAGGGCGGTCGCGGGGCCCTCTGCACCTCCGCCCCCGGCCACCTCTCCCTGGGAGGACTCGCCAGGGCCGAGGGCCAGCGCTTGGGGAAAGGGCTGTGGGTGTGTTACTTCGAAGGGCGATTGCTTTGAAACTTGATTCATAAAACACGTGTCCGGAGCCCGCCTTGTAGAACTGCTTTGGCAGTCCGAGGCGTGCACAGCAGCGGCCGGGGGCGCTTCCTGGGTTGGCCGCGTGTTCCGAAGGCCCCTTGCTCCCCTCACGGCTCCCCTCGTGCTGGCAGTCTGAGGGCTGGCCTGGCTTCTGAGTACAGACACACATGTACATATGTGTACGTGTGGGGCCACACACCAATATACTATATGGCATGTGTGTATGTGTGGTTGTGCACATGCACACATTATCACACATGTGTGGCTGCGCATACCCACACACTGTACACGTTGCATGTTGTATGTTTACATACATGTGCCTGTGGTCGCACACACGCCCAGTGTATCTGACCAGGTGCACACTGTCCACGCCTGCGGAACAGAGGGAAACAAAGCAGGCGCCGTGCGCAGGGGCTGGCGGCCGGGCCGAAGCGCCGGGAAGGGTCATGGGCACGCCCCACATCCGCGTTTCAGCCTCGATCACCACTTGGGAGAACGAGGGGGAGCAGCAGCTGGCGGGCGATGTGCGTCGCAGAGATACACAGTTGCGCCACAGGCTCTGAGTCTCCTGAAACATTTATTTCTCCCGCTGGGGGAGAAAACGACGCTTGAACACGCCCGTGGTTGGGATCGGGGTCGCCAAGGATGAGCTGTCTCTGGCAGAGGGACACCCTGCAAACCCCGGCGCCACGGAGCCGATGCAGAGCGGCGGCCTCCACCCGCCCCGCGAAACAGCAGCTCTCTTGGCCCAGAGCCGACGCGCTGCTCTCGCGGCGCCTGTAGCTCCTTCTCACCTCTGCCCCCATTTTTAACAAAACATAATTTTAAATTGACTGCGTTATGACTTCTAACCTTTTGTTCTGCTTTAAAAACACGTGCGACTAGAAGTTTCCCTACGTTAAGATACGTGTTGCTTTTCTGCAGGAGGGTTTAAATCAAGGAGAGCGTGTGCTTTCACAGCGGTGAGCGGGAGAAATCAGTTCTTCCATCTTTGCTCCCTTGTCTCTTCATAAAATTTTCCATTTTGGGGCGCAAGGTGCATGACCGTTGACCCTTAAAAGCATTTCTGTTACTATTCATGCAGAAAGCAGAAGGGCCTACCTCCGCTAACTAGCCTTCCTTCAGGCTCTCGGAACCGCCGCGTCCTGGGTGCGGCGGCCGCGGCGCGCTCAGGCCTGGCTATGCGTGGCCTGCGGGGTCCGGGGAGAGGCCAGCTTGAACGGGACGGCCCCCGTGGACGTGGACCCGCCTTAAGCACGACTCACACTTTTTAGCCACCTATCAATTCTCTCTCTCCATTTCCTACGTCTCAAAGTAATTTTAAAGAGTAAACATATGTAATTGTTGATAGAGGAAGGGAACCAGAATCCACATGAATCAAAAACCATGGTCCCAGACAACCCAAAAGTTGTCCAGATAAAAGTAGTAATCGAGGGCCTTTGGCTCCGTAGACAGGATTTCTACCATATTTGCATACTTCTATTTCAGTCTCTTGCACAGGTCTTCACTAGAAGAAGAGAAAAACTAGCATATTTAAAAATAAAATTTAAAAACCTCATGGACTCTGATCACTTCAGTATACCAACATTTTTTCAATATATAAGAAATGCAAAAACAGTTGAATATGATCCTGATGATATGGTGTTAGAGTGCATTTTTATCTGAAAAGGAAATTAAGACCCAGGAGAAGAAGTTTAAAAATAACACTTAAAAATGCGTTTGGAACATGGAAAGTCTCTGAAAATGGTGTAAAGTGGGTAATGCATATCTAATTATAAATGAAAATGCTAGATGGCTTTTCACCTTTTTTGTACATCGGAAAAGAAGTTAAACAAGTAGACAAAAGAATATTTTTTTCTTATATTCCTTAAGTAAAAGAAAGTTGAAAATTAGTATTGTTTCTTTTCATTCTCCTTTTGGAAATAGCACTAAATAATGTTGCAATGAATTTAATATTTGAATTCATCCTAATGTAATAATAATGTAACCACCAACTGGCATCACGCTAAGAAGAAAGCTCCGTCTTTGCTTTCAAAACTTACTCACACCTTAAACAAATGGATTTTGAGCTGTCACGTGGTCGAATTATAGAAAGCCACTATTACACTTATTTTTGAAATCAACAGGGAAGTAGATTACCCAAGACTTTATCTTCATTTCTCCCCGTCATCACTGCGGGGCACCTGTGTATGTGTCTCATCGGAAATGGTGCTCCTTCAAAACCCCGGCCCTCCCCGCCCCCGCCCCGCACTCCCGTTCAGCAGGAACGAGTCTTTTCGGCCAATTTGAATAAAATTGCCCCTGCCCGCTGCACGGGCTGACCTGAGGCGGGACGGGAGACTGTGGGGAGGGAAGGTGTGCGTTCCATCAAGTCTGAGAGCTCCTGAGTTGTGAAACTGAGAACAGAGCCCGAGGCGGACACGCGTGTTTATTGCTCCAGGCTGACGTGTGTTTGTGAGGACGCGTGGGCAGAGCCCTTAGAGGCTCTGCCGTGGGTGTTTATGAAATGAGTTGTGAATGACAGCAAAATTCTTGTTTGCTCTAAGGAGTCAGATGACATCTTTTCTGAGGTTTATTGGTTGTGCAGTGTTACCGAAAAGGCAAACTAGAATCAAGGGCTTGAAAGCAAATAGAAATAATGAAGAGGTTCGGGTGGCGCCGTGGTGTGTGGTGTTATGCATGTGCTGTCCTGACCAAGCGCTAGACCCCCGGAGAAGATCCCAAGACGTGTCATAGGCAGTCAAGGAAGTATCGCCAAGCCAGGTCCAGAGACAGAATCTCGCCACCGACCCGAGGGTCCTCCCCTGGCGCCCCCTCCTTGCCTCTACTCGCGGAAACGTCCTGTCCACTCTCTGGATGTGTCAATTTATAACTAAATATTGCCTTTTAGAATTTATATGAACAATACACTACGTGCTCCTTGGAGCCTGGCTTTGTGGCCAGGGGTGTTTGTGGGACCCGCCCGTGTCGCTGTAGAGCACTGGCTCATTCGTTCCCGCTGCAGTGTTTCCCGGCGTGGACGCGCTGTAATCCGTGGGTGGCAGTGTGGGTGTCTGGGGGGGCAAGCGTGGGTGGCTGTGACCCTCGCGCATACTCGTGGACCTTTTGCAACGTGGTGCATACACGTCTCTTGTAGGCACTGTAGAGAGAATGGCGCGCTAGTTGGGAAAGTGTATCTACAACTTTAGGAGATGCTGCCGACCAGTGTCCAGGGTGGTTGTATGAATGTATGACTTCCACCGGCAGTGTTTTCCTGGGAAACGCTGCTGCCGGCAGCCGTATTTGAAGTTTCGGGTTTGGGGAGGCTGAATAAGAGTTTCTTGCATTAGTTTGGTTTCTGTTTCCTGGTAATTAATGAAGCTGAGGAGCCCCTTTCTGGATGTGTTTTGGCTCCTTGCGAGTCCCTCCCACTTGAAGGAGAACATTGAAGTCCTTTTTTCCCCAGGAAATGCAGATACTGATCTATATTCCCAAACTCTGACCTGGCCATTCACATATCCATTCACACAGTCAAGTAATGCAGTTATTAAGCACCGACTGTGTGCCAGGCACATACGGAAGCAGGCAGCAAAGGATGGCCACTTTCTGCATGTGCGTATCTGCTCAAATGTAACTATAGACACTTTCAAGGCAAAAACCAAAAAACCCAGCAGTGCATCGATGCCGTTGGAGTGAAGAACAAGGAGAAGTGCACTTGAGCAGCAGGTTTTCCAACTGCAACACCGGCCAGAGAGGGTCTCCCGCCCTGCTCTGCTCCCGTATCTGAAATGCTTATGGGAGGAGCCCGGGCTGCAGACAGGGGTTTAACAAGCCCCCCCGCAGCCAGGGTGCCGGCCCCCCTTTTTGAGAACCCTGCACTGGAAAGACCTACTACTATGCATATTAATGAGTTGTTTTGCATAAATCAATCCTGTTTTTATGAATGGAGATTATATAATGCTCGTTTAATTCTTCCAGAAATCCCACCCATAAGCACTGCTAGAGTTCTTGTTACTAGGGTTTTCTCCCCTGAGCACAAAGGATTTATTTTAATTATTCCATCGATTGTAAGCAAAAGTAATCACAGGTAAACAGCTGGGCCGGGCCGGAGCCCCTGCCACTTGCCCCCCGGCTTCCCGGAGGCGCTCAGCGCCTGCCTGTGCCGCTCTCAGTATCCGCCCAGAGAGTAATCCCAGCGGCTTCACCGGAAAAGGCGCGAACCGGGCCCCCT